ATCATACATAGTATTTTTCTGGATTTTTGTTTTAGATTCCATCACTCACAGTTGAAGAGTACCTATGATAAAAATTACAGTCATCTACAAGCTTTGCAAGTGGGAAAACCTGAAAAATCAACAGTGTATCAAATACTTGTTCTCCCCACTGTATTTTCTAAAGGATAAAATTGACCAACTGGAGAACCACAGCCAACGCAATATTTGTCAATAACTACAAGAGAGCTGTAAAGAGAACAACCTTGTCAACTGGATACCTGTAACCCTAGAGTCTAAGCACTTTATGTAGCCATTGATAATCTGTGAGCTCACCTCACTTTAACACCATGGCAGCCTGCTGACCAGAAGCCACGGCCCATTCTGATCCGACTGCTCAAATCTCAGAACTGGGATGAAATCCTTTTGTACTGTTTCACAGCTGTCCAGGGGKAAGAGTCCAATCACAATGAAGGCAAATCAATAATGTTTTTCCTAACCCTTCCACCTTGGTGAAGCGGAGGAAAGACTACGATCAAGTGAAGAAAGAACTTCGCTCCAGGGAAATTTGCTCTACTCCATCCTGCAACCTTTAGGATCACACTTCCTGATGGGAAGAGGAGATGCTTTAAAACACCAAAGGAAGATGGATACGTGTCAAAACCCACCTGCAAAAATATGATTTGTGTACCTGTGGGAAAAAAAATGACCTGCAAAATTTAGATTTGTGCAACTGCAGAAAATATTCTTTATATTGAACTAATGGATCACACAACAAACAACAGATGCATGTTTGACCACTCAGTCCAGTAAACACATTGGTYCCAGAAAGAAATATTTCATAAAGCTKGCRTACGCACAAAACAGGCCCAGAAACTTGCGTACGCCACTTTTCACACAAATGCTGTGATTTATACAACCCAAACTTGACATGAAAATGTGCGGTCCCTCACACCAGCTCTGACCCATGCATACATTCATTTTGGAGGCAGGAAGCTGTAACATATGGTGAAGTGAGGAATTAGAGCCACACAGCATCATGATCACTCTCAGATCTTTAATTTCACTTCATAATCAGACTTAGATTTTTATTCAACTTTATCAGAAGCTTTCTTAACTATTATTTATGCTTCTGCTGCTGAGGGTGGGGGCTTATTTCTAGCTGAAAAATGGGGCAATGGYTGCATTATTTAATTTTATTTATTAGGACAACCATCTGAAGAAAAAATGCTATTTTTAATTACTGCAACAAGAAGTTTTGCCGACTCCCCAACGGGGTCTGATAAGGTTGCAGCTGCTACCTGCTCCACATGAGGACCTATGGACAGTTCTTGAACACCTGTGGACACAGCGAAGTTGCCCAAATTGACAAAAACTTATAGGTTTTAACCTGGGTCTCTTATCAATTAATAGAAGAAAAATATATTTTCATTCTACAAAGATTTTAACATCCAAACCTTAACTTAGACGTATAACATCAAGTCTATAAACCTTTTCATCTGTAACTGTTTTATAAAGCCTATATCTTATCTTTCATGTTATTTTTACTGTTTTATTCATGATTCAGTTAAATTAATTCTTTCTATATTTTTGTAATAAATTACCATAAAGGACCAGGCTGGTTCCTCATCTTTAAATATTTAGTCCTGAGATAAGAATTCACTGTTACATCATACGAATCTTACACTTTGGTGAATGAGTCTGACTAAAAAGTGTGAATAAACATCAGTTAAATCTGATTGGTGCCCCAACTTAGAAAAATTATAGTGCACAAACAGTTTATTGCCCTTTCCGTTTCTCTCCTACCAACATCTGTTATAATAGATACGACCAAAAACTGCCTTTATAATTTCACAACAGTCTTCACTTGAAAGTTTGTCATACAAGAAACAAAAAAGTTTTTTGTTTAAATCTTAAATAAAACTTGGATTTATGTCAGTAAATCTTTTTTGTTGTTGTTTCCCTAACATTTTGTACAGTAGTTGTGATACATAGTGTTATATTTGAACCAATGCAGAAACCAGTTTGTCTGAACATGAATGAATTGTGAGGATGATTTAGTGAAAAATGTATCCATGTAACGTTCACACGTCTTTTGTTTCAGGCGTGAAAGGAATTCACACTGGTCTACACTTAAGTGCTACAAATGTTTTAATCTTTACTTATATTTGATGGTTCCAAACGCTTTCTATAGCAAAAAAAAAAAAAGAAAAAAAAAAGTAAGGACTTGACTGTACAGCTTTTATTAAAYTGATCCCTTATTAAAAGTTAGCTTTAATAATTCCTCTGGAGGACCTACTTATTGTTTTATTAGATGCTTCATGAGAATGAATGACAATATACTTAAGTTTCCTGGGGTTATTTCACAGCATAAATCTCTAATTTTGCTGTATTTTTGAAGATTAATCTTTGCAGCGCAGCATCTTTAAGAAAACTGTGGAGTTTGACAGATTGAACTCTATCAACATGGGAGACTGCTATRTTTTTAATCCTTTATTATAGAATTGACTTGTGCAGATCACATACGCATGTGGGTTAACCATTGGAGATTGTGATGCTATTTATTTTACCATACACAAAATTCAAAAAGTAAAATGAACAAAACAAGCTTACATCTGTTATACATGGACTAATTAGTGACAGATGCCAAGGTTAATGGTGAGTACACAATACACAACTACAATAAAATGACATTGAGCATGAAGCCATCTTTGGTCTTCTTTTAACTAGAAAACAAATACATAAAATTTATTGTATCAAAAATAGAAATTACATAGCCATATTGAAAGTAAGTTCACATTTTTGACATACAAGAAAAGAATACCTACAAGACATTGTGGGACTACTTTTTTGCACTCCTTGGCAATAAGGTTTTCTGTGTTCTTGAACATTCTTTTTTTTAATCCCAAAATTAACTGCAATAAATTTGCCAAACTATCAATATCGCATCTGTAAGAACAAGATGCACCACTTTAGACCCTACCCACCCCTTAAAAAGAAAGAAACAAAGAGAATAATATTGTGGTCAGATTGTCAGTCAAACATGTGCTTTCTATGCGGGGCTTTTTAAAATGAGGTCTGAGCCACAGTGAGGCTGAGCAGACACCTCCATTCTTGACACAAGCACTCAGAAATGAGTCTTCTTGTATCATTTTAACAAACTGGTCTTTGAGCTTCTGTCCTCCTCCGTTTCTCAGTTATTCTGCTCTGGGAGGCACACCATTAAAACAGCTGAAGTGGACCTCTGCTGGAGATAAAAAGGGAAGTGCTTTCCAAGTGTTTGATCCTCTGTGGAAAAAACAAAAACAAACAAAAATGAATGTTTCATTGTTAAACAGCAGCGTTGATGCACAGCTTTATCTCTTGACCATAGATCAGTGGCGTCAACCCTAGTCCTCCAGGGCCTTGATGTTTTAGAGGTTTAAATTAATTATGAACTATTGTTTAACCTCAGAGTACAGTTTTTAAATGACTGTAAATGTTGCTGAAACAGAAAGTTTCTCAGTGGATCTGTGCTCCACAACGTAGCCTAGGTGGAGTAGTTGAACACAGATCTACTGAGCCTTCAACGGAGCATCTTCAGAAGACAAGTTGATAAAATAAACTTTAAAAATCAGTATTATTCCACACAGTGTGAACATAAAGCTCTGTATTGAATGGTTCGCTCTGGTGTGAAGCGTGAGATCATGCAGTAAATCCAGGGAAAATCAGAGCAAAAGAATTCATTCTGTAAAAGACGAAATCCAAACAGTTCAAACTGCATCGCTGTTGTCTTTTTGAAACTTCTGATTTCAAAATAAAATCCACGTGTATTATTATTACACACAAGTTATGAATGCTAACCGTAGATCACAGAAAGACCAAACAATGTGAAAAACACAACATGAGTTGTTTTTCAGCTTACCGGGGCAGACAGCATWGTGTGTGTGTCCTTTTGAGTGTTGGAATTGCATCGTCTTTTAGTGATAATCTTTATTAGTCCACTGTTAAATTACTTTTCTTTTTTTTTCTTCCAGAAAGCTACCATCCATAAAGTGGCTGACACAAATTATATATAC